ATTGTGTTCTGTCGCGTGGCGGGGGGAGAGGGGTGGCGGGAGCGACGTAGAAACTGTCGGTTTTATTTGTTGGAATTTTTCGTTCTTCTCGCACTTGTAACCAAAATCAAATTTTCCATCTGTCTCTCCAAAAGTAGCGTGTGGTGGAACCTGTGTGTGTGTGTGTGTGTGTGATCAGCCGGATCGTTGGTGAACGTGCCTCGCCGTTGCAGCCGGATAAAAACGGCGACATTTAAAGTAATTTGCATTTATATTGAAATTTGGATTTTTTTTTGCTGCTCTTCTCTCTCCCCGTGGCCTTTTTCTCCGGTCTTTTAATTTCATCTCGTCGCCCCGTGCACATTCCGGCACACGGCCGCCCCTATACTGTTTTTTTTTTTTTTTTTGTCCGCCTAATCGAACGAGCGTTTGGCGTGAAATCCTTTCATGTTTGTTGCTGCGTTACACGGCAAAATCTACGGAATTAAAACCAAACGGCCGGAAACCGACCCGGTGTTGTTATTACTATTCTCCGGCCAACCCGGGGATAGCAACGGGAAAAGCACTCCGGATGTGTGTTTGGTCGACCGCGGCAAAGTGGTTGAAAATACAAAACCTAATTCTCCGTGGTGTACGACTATTCCAATAACTTGCGGTCTACGTGAGCCTTACTCCTGCAAATGCGCCGGATAAGCTATTCCCACCTCCTCCCCCCCGAAAAGAAAACATATTTCTAGTAGCCGTGCATGCTGACCCGAAGTAAAACCCTTCCAGTCCGCGCTGGATTCTACGCCTACATTCATCGAGTTACCAAAAAGCTCTAGTTCTTTATTTGCCATCGTTGTTTTGTGCACACACATAGTGGCGAAACGGCGGAGAGGACACCGTGTTACATCCGGATGAACGAAGAAAACTCAAAAGTGTATTTGAATTTGTACTCTTCTCGCGCCTATCCATATCCTAGTCTGTACTTTGACCTGAGCTAGAGTGGTGTATAGAAATAATGCAAAGCACAGCACTTAAGCCCCCAAAGGACTTTGTCAAAAAGAAAAACATTACCTAGCAGAATCACTAGCAGCAGCACGCACAGCGGCCGAGTGAATTATTTACTCGAGCTATTCCAATTGCAGCATATTTTTGATGTTGCATGTATTCCTTTTTTTTTATAACAGCTAAAAATCTCTTCAAGAGTCATATTATAGTTTAATATCTTGTTGAAGGCGACGTGTAACTGCCAAAATGGGATTACTCCAGGTTGACTGTGATATATTTTTCGGGAACTTCCTCGGCTCCCTTTTTCTTTTTATCCGCTTCCCATTTAACTTGTAGCCTCCAGACCCGCGTAGAGTAGTTTGTGCTGGCAAAAATAGTAGAAAGAAAAACGATATCGCTCATAGTGGTAGAGCCTGGTGGCGGGACCTTCGGTATAATGAGCGCCCCGCTTGCCAAGGCGAAAGGGAGAAGAATCCCAGGAATCCAACAAATGACGGATGTATGTCGTTTTTTGCCCGCGCCAGTTTCGTGTAGTACACCAAAACGAGCGTACATATATGTTAAGGGGAAAAAGAGCCCACATCAATATACAGACAACAAAAATACAATATACATCTTGAACGTGTTATCAGCGTGAAGAAGCGTCAAGGCGATCAGGCAGTTGACATTATTGGATTACCATCGAGAACCGAGTGACGCCTACCCCCCCCCCTACCCCGTCCACTTTGGGGGCGGATTAAAAGGTTTTTGACGCCGCTTTTCTCGTTTTTAATGGACCAGGACGCCACCCGGTAATATGATTTCATTATTATTATTATTATTATTATTCAGAGGGGAAAATCGCTTTAAACCGAAGGCAAGAGGGAAGGGGGGGGGGCAGGGCGTTAACTTTGTCCGTTCACAGCGCTCGCAGTTTCGGCAAAATACAATTTAAACGCGCGCTGTCTTTTGGACACATTTTTGATGTGCGATAATTTAAACACAATGTGATTTTCTCTCGGCTTCTCGACGGGGTTTCCGGTCGTTCGTGGTCATCATATTTCTTGTCCGTTTAGTTCGCTCTCTGACAAATTAACCGCATAATACACCTATTCCGGTGGTCGGGTCCCGAGTGGATGGAGATAATATACTCGCACGTGTATAATATGATACACAAGTTAACGATGACGACGACGGGGACACAGCTCTCACAACTGTTACCTAGTTGCCGCCAACCGTGGCGTTGTCCGTGTCGTTTACACGCAATGTACTCCAGCGATTTCTCAGACCTCTAAGAGACGTTATCAATCATCATTTCATCCGGCTACACAAATAACGGCGGCAGCAGCAGCAGCAGCAAACAGTCGACAAAAGACAACGATAATGATAATAATATATATAGTAACAACCTGTGGGGGTAGGGGACGGCCGCCTACTCTTCACAGCAGCTCCTCGTCTTAAACACCACACCGTCTTAAACACCGTGTATACCGTTCGCATCACTATATTATTGTGTTTACACTGGGCCTTTTGCTCCTCGACAAGACTTGTTTGCGCACAATGGTCTCTAATCAAAACACGACGACGTCTCTGCAGCGCGGTCGTGTGTGCGACCGACAAGCCCGCCTATTGTTTGGCCGTGGGCTTTATGCTGCTGCGCTTCCAAGTGTATTGTGTATTGCTGCTGCTGTTGGTGTTATTCGTATAATATCGAAGTTTGATTAAAGTTTTAACGTCGACGGCAAAAACCCTTTTGAGCGCCTGCTCAACACGCTATTGTCGGACGTCGTCGTTGTGCCACCTCGGTATTTATTTTACTAAAGTCTAAACGGAATACAACCATCATTTCGTTTAAACCCAAGTATACTGTATATGTAGGTATAGTTGGTATACACTAGTTTGAACGCCGCGCCGGTGACAACAAAAAGGGGCCATTATAAAATATGTTGTAAAGTCAATTTTACATCGAGGGAGAAAAAAATCCCCATAGCCGACATAATAGGAAACGTGTTGGCCGAGCTGAACAAAAGAAGGGAGGAGGGTACCTAACGGGCGTGTATGTGTGTGCAGAGCGCTCGAGGGCGAAAATCCTATCTGCTTTCAAAAGGAATATCGTATATGGATATAAAGCCGCAGCGATTGTGAGCTATCAATTTTGCTCTAATAAACCGCTAACAATGGAGAATCTCTCTCTCTCTCTCTCTACATCGGCCGCCGCGTGTTCCGCCCGAAGGGTTGGTGGAAATGTCTCCATCTCACACCACATAGTATACACGCCCGTCGTATATTATACCTTCTTCCAGTACCTCTACTCGCTTCTCCCTACCCGTTCTAAACTCTTGCCCGGCCTCCGTCGTCGCCGGTGACAATAATATTTTCCATTGCTGCGGTTTATAATAACGTGTCTCGGTTAGGTCTTTTCGGCAGCGCAATCGATATCGGAGACACGAAAGTCATTAGGGAACCGTTCGCGTGATATAGAGAGGCCTTTGAAGTCGACAAAAGCTGGCTATCCGTCGTTATATTCCGCTTCCCCTCCGACAGTCCAACTCCCTTTTTTCCCTTTTGATCCTCTCCGCCGGCGTTTCCTGCTCCCGTGCTTCTTCTTATTCATCACGGTGTACTACTACCGCCGGTGGTGTGGTAATTCAATTAAAAATCGAAACGTCACTAAAGCCGGGATTACCAGATGATTCACTCTCGAGACGACTCTGGTTAGACTTACACGGTTCGTTTTTCAATGAACCGTGTGCGCAAATCCGGCTTTGAATACTTACCGTCGGTAAGGTTTTTGGCCGAACTCCTCCTCCCATGTCGGTTTATCGAATCCCAAGTTAATAACATATTAACGTTACTGTTGTCATCGCGCCAAGTATTATTGTCATAGTATTCCTATGCAACATATTGTGTACTAGCAAAGCAGTTATGCCGCCATATTGCCTATTCGGAACGCCGTCCAATAAAATATAACCGGTCGGATATATTCTCTCTTTCGCGTTGTGGTTATTGCTGGATCATTAGTAACAGCAATAGTCTATAAAAGATAAAGCCGAAAAATAATCTATGTCGACGAGAAATTACCGTGGTGTCTGCCGGGAAAGGATACGGAGACCAGGGCGAGTTGATGACTGGCTGTACCCTCCGACGAAGAAGACAATGGACTTTAATTTCATACCCACCTATCCGTGTGTATTTTCCAAAGGACCCAGACCACAGGGCCAAAGGGATATTTTGTAAGGGAGGAGGGATAGGGTCTGGTGTGTGGTGGTTGTTGTATTTACCACTGCTGCTGCTGCTGCTGCTGCCGCCGTTGTTATGCCCAAAGGCAGTTGGTGTTGTCAGATTATTAATTCCGCTGTATCCGGTAGACGCGCTTTCTGAAAGTCATTCGTTATTAATAGTTTAATTTCACGGCGAGAGGTAGGGAAACACAGCGAGATAAGGCGACACGATAACTCACGTGGTTTGGTCGTAGTATAACCTTTGTCGACGCTTGTAATAAATTACCAGACGACGACGGTGCGGCGCGCTTTGCCTTGCGCTCTTCAAGGAACTTTTTATATTCGCCTGTATTTTGTGTGATTTTTTTGTGTAATTGGAGAGCAGAGGTGATTAACTAGAGGAGGGTATGTTTGGCGGGGCGAGGCGGGATGCGCGAACGGCGGTCAAATAGAATTGGCAAACACGGTTTGTACAAACTCAACAAAGTACTAACACCGTGCGCATTATAAATCCCCGGCGCCCGTCTGTTTCCGGTATCTGCCGGCCGGGGAAAGCAACCGCCATTAGATGACTTTTAGCCCGACTACTTTTAAACGACCACTTTGTATGCACCGGTCGCAATTGTTTTCCGCCGCGCAGCTGATGAATTATAAACGAGCGGAAACGACAAACGACTGGCCTATGTAGCTTGTATGGGTCTGTCGGCGGAAATCTTACCACCATTCCTTCCAACCTTTTTCATTATACGGCACTCTGTGTGAATCCCTGAAACTACTACCCTTGTTTAATTGCCGTTGTAATAGCGTTGGCATTTATTTTTGTTTCAGAATCTTGAGTCGCAGGAGAAAAAGCAAATGATTCACAAAGACACTCTGAGCCGGGAGCACAGATTCCTCAGGCGGAGACTGGAACAGCTGACCACCACGCTTAACGTGAACAAACGCCGGTCCGTGTCGGAGTCCAGCAACTACACGACCGCGTCCGGCGCGTCCACGACCTCGTCCGCTTGCAGCATGTCTTCTTCGTCGCCGTCCATATCCGAATCGGGTAAGCCTGCACACATATGTGTTCTATGTATGGCCAGTGAGAGAGAAGAGACGCTCGAAAAAATTATCACACTTATAGGAGACAGTTGTCAAAACACATATTCGTGTCAGAAACAATTCGGATCATCTATCCAACTTCCATCTCATCAACCGCTCCAATGTAACCTATTACAGTCTCAGTATCCTTCACAGCTCCGTAGGAGTTTGCTCTCAAATACGAGAATTTAAGGGTTTCTCATTGACCAAATTTCTGCCCCACGTGTAACAATAGGCGGTGTTAAGCTGTTTCTTTAAATCTCTTGTCAGCGGTTGTGATCCTAGCCAACAGTTTCATTAGTCCAAAGAAACATTTTGTTTCCAGACAGGATTCTAGCTTCAATTCATTGTCAATCTGTGATTCTCTATTAAGCAGACCTGTAGAGTGTCGTTGTAAGCTCATTCCTATATACATTTCTCTTATTACTTTTTCTAGACTATGTTAAACAATACGGGCTGTAGTGAGTCGCCTTGCCTGATCCCATAAGCGTCGGTTCCGATTCTACAGTTTCCTCGCTAATGATTTCAGCCCCATTTTATCAGTCGATATGCCTTTGTGAGCCTTTGCGTGTGGGCTTTTATGTGGGTTTGTACGAGCGCAACCAACGATGAAATCGATCCGTCGGTGGACACTGGCCCGCGTTTCCAATGGGGTGTGTGCATGTCAATGTGAAGATAATTCTATTGTCTGTGTGAGAGCAACACCTGGACGTGGCCGACACACGTTTTATTATTATTATTCCAATTGCAAAACGGTCGAACCGAAAGGGTCTGAAATTTAATTCGCTCCCGTCTGCTGCACCCGAATGGTGTATCGGATGTCACCCTGGACACGCTCACTCCGGTATGAACAACCCTCGACAGCCGGCCCGTTTGTTGTACTTGAGTCGATAAAGTCGATTACACCTTGTACACGACTATAGGCCTAAATTAATTATTAACCTTATAGCTGCAGCAGTAAGATCTAGAACATCTACCCTTGAGAGCTTTATGTCACACACTAGTTGTATGAATTACAAGGCACCAAAAGAAACTGCTAAAGATTTGGCTATAGTCACTTGGCTTCAGCGACAATGACAAGGCATAACCTTTAGAGAGCATAGTTGAAGGAACCGAACATATTGGAAATCGTTTAACTTAAAGTGATAAAATCATATTTAAATAAACGCTTCGGTGTTGACGACAGGCAACACACACATATCAATAAAATCATTGCAATTATGTGTTAAAAATATTATTTTTGGCACTAGAGTAGATATATTGATTGGGTTGATCATATTCCTTACCTGGCAATTCCAAGAACATAATGAACATATGTTTCGGATACCTGTTGAATGTTTTTGTTTCCTTAATAAAAAAAAAATATCTATGTATGTTAACTATAGATTTTTGAGGAAACTGTAAACGATTATATGATATAATCCCACTCTATATTCAGTCTTAATTTTCAGACATGTATAGAGATAAAGAATAAGTTTCCATCCGTTTTGTAAAACAGCGTTGTTGAAACAATACCTTCCCGGTCTTGTGTGGGGGCTGGGTGTTGATATCGTTGAGCTTTTTTAAATAAATATTATTCGTTTTTATTTTAATGAGTTTTTTTCCATATAATATTAGGTGTATGTGTTTAGTTTTTTGTGCTCGCTTCGACGTTAAGCCTCTCGAAAAAACATATCCGACAGACTCGAGAGACGGTCTGTCGAAACAATGTATATATTCTAATGAAAACATGTTATTCATTAAAAACGTATATTATCATTTTATATATATATATATATGTATACAGAAAAGTGATGAAAGAAAAAATCCCATAGAATATTAATATATTATGGAAGACGCGGGTCGCTGTAGTCGAGACCCGTTGCTCATTAGAGTCATCAAGCTCGGGCTTTTGTATAATATTAACAATAAAGTGGTGTGCTCCTAGTCCACAACAGTTGTGTTGTGTGTGTGTGTCTCGGTTGCTGTTTTAAATTAACCAATTTCACCGCAATTATTGTTTCCATACCCCGGCCAAACGTCTCGGGGGCAAAAAGAGCCGTCACTGGATTTTTAATTTGCTTAAACCCGGCAAATAGTCACATAATAAACGAGAAATTTTTTCACTCTCTCCCTGTTGTCACTCCAATATTTTTTTTTTCCTTTGAACAAACAACAAACGAGACGAGACCCGGGGATTAGGGGGGGGGGGGCGAGAGTACGTAGCGATCCTTAAATTTTTCTTTAAAGGTCGGAGATGACAAAAAAAAAAAGTAATAATAATAATTATAAAAAAGCATTTCACGTTTAATTAGCCATTGGCGTTTGGGCGCGTCTTAAACAACTCGGAGAAAATAATAATTGAATTCGCTTTAAAAAAAAAAAAAACATTCTTTAATCGCGCGTCCGCCGAACTCGGTCTTTGTAAACTTGGCTTCCTTTTCTTTCTTTCCGTTTTTTTTTTTTGGCCTTCGAGAATTATCGTTATAAAATACAAAAAAAAAAAATGTAATTTTCTAACCCGAATGGGGGTCGAGGAGAAAGGCAATTCCACAAAAAGGGCTAATAAACGTTTTTGGGCTCGTACCTTGTATCCTTTACCCCGTGCATTAACGAAGCCCCCCACCCTAACCTACATTCCACACCGGCGAAGAAATTTGGAGAAAACGTTTTTGAGACGAGGGGATAGGTCTTAGTGTTATTATAGTCTCGCGGTCGACTGAGTACAGAAGAAAATTCCAAGGGGAAAATACTTGTGTGTATATAATTACAAAGAAGAATGAATGAGTTGGTCGGCGGTGCCTCGAAAACGTTTCGATTTCGATGTCTTCGGGAGAGTTTATTTTCTGTCTCCGTCTCTCTCGTCCCCTTCGATTTTCTTTCTGTTTCCATTGTTCAAAGCGAAAATGCCACAGCGAACAGCAGCAGCCGCTCGTCTAAACGGTGTTGTTATTTAGCCTGCACTAAATCCTTTTGGATAATAAAAACAAAGCAACGGGGGAAAGATAGAGAAAACATTTAGCCCTCCGAAAATACTACTCTATATGTGTTCGACAACTCGTCGGTCGCTTCTACTTTCACCGCGTGTAAACTTTAATTGGTCTTTGTTTCTTTTTTTTTTTTTTTGGTGGGGTTTGCCGAAATTGCGTTTTCTGTCCTGGCCGTCGTTTGTCTTGTACCACGCCGGAAACTGTAATTATCTCGACTGTTTTGGGAATAGAACAGTGTAATTATTCTAAGAGAGACGGTGGATTAGATTGCAGGACATGTCCGTGTATTGCACTGTATCTGCATGGAGTGCGGATACTCTTAGCGTTTTACCCCCCCTTAGTCAAATGAAGCACACATTAACGATTGAGTGAATTTTTTGTTGACCCGAATTTGCTACTCTCGAATGTACTGTAATTTTCGAGGCATGCCAAGGGTGTTGTGTGAAGGGATGAAATGAAAACCGACCGGAGGGATAAATCAAAATCTTTTGGCGGGGGCGTACCGTGTACGGGGTTGGGGGGGGGGCACGCCGGAAATCAAAACCGACTCGTTTTGGTGGTCGGATATAATTTATAGCGCATAAAAACTATGCGCATTATTTACCGTGCGAGCGACCTAACCCTCCCCCCCCCAAAAAAAAAAACCGGGGAATTCCACCGTCGTAGTCGCCCGTGTGTAATATATATATATTATAAATGTCCGCGTCGTTACTGTTTATGTACATATTTTATAATATATATTGTTGTTATTATTGTATATAGTCATATAACATTATTATTATTATTTTTGTACTTGGCCTCGCCTCGAAAAGCCAAAAAACATAAGCGGCGGCGGCGGCCACGGTAGTGCCCCCCCCCCCCAAATTGTTGGTGATTTATGGCGGCGACGTAGCCAATCTAAAAGTGCGCACCCCGGTTGTTATTATTACCTACTACCCCACACCTACTCCTCTGTACTACCACCTAGTACCTACCCAGTGTATAATATAATGTCAAATAGTATCGAACGCAATTAACCGGTCCGAAAAAAAGAAGATTTATCTAACAGTAGGAGGACATCCGTTTCATCGGCGGGGTAATAAATTGCCAACGCCGCTTGTGCTCTACGTTTTATTATTATACGCTTTGGTTTTGCACCGATGACGGATAAATTGCCTTTGGAGAAAACGGCAATCCCTCTGTATTTGCCCCGTGCCCACACAAGGTTTGTCTTCCTCCGGCTTGTATTTATTATTACCGTCTTCCTCCTGCCCGGCAAAGATTAACGGGGGATTAGATACCGAACACCGGCGACGGCCAATTTGGACGGCGAAAAATATAACCGCTCTCCTCTCACTCTCTCTCCCGCACAGGCTGTTTATCTTGTTCTCTTTGGTTATTATTTGACAAATAAATTACCCGTATCGCGGTTTGTGTTTGTGAAATTAATATTAGTTAATCGTCTGGTTTTGTTATCTTGCAGACGAAGTGGACGTCACCGGATGGGTCAGCGACACAGGCAGCGTGCAATCCGGATCCAGCGACAGCGGCGTGGCACTGTCCACATGCCGCATCACTCTTTCCGAAATGGTCTTTTAGATGTAAGTATAGCAAAGTATACTAGTTACTATACGGCTTGGGGTTAATTTAAAAATCAAAGCTGATGGTATATTATACCTTTAGGTTAGGTTTGGTTGTTGGGTTTGGTTAGGTTTCGTTGGGTTTGGTTAGGTTTCGTTGGGTTTGGTTAGGTTTCGGTTGGAGGTTTGGTTTACCCGACCAAACTTAACCTAACCGAACTCACCAACTCTTAAGATATAATATACCATTAACTTTAAGTACCGTTAAATTAACAAAAAGATTTTATTTTACAAGGTAGTCAATAGGTTTTAAATTTAATTAATGATAATTACTTAAATAAAACAGTTATTTAGGTCAGGTTTGGTTTGGTTGGGTAAACCAACTCGACCAAACCAACCGAAAATAAATCGAAAAATTAGTATCTATCTTGAAATGCTCGTTTACTTGGAAAATAATTACTATTTTGTAGTTTTTCTTTTTGGGAGCCATTTTTGTACAATACTACACAATTGCCAAATATTTATCTTTTTTTTTTTTTTTTAATTATTTTAAATAGCGTTTTTAACTACCGATGTGTTAAATTACCAGTTTAAAACCAGTACAGTTAGCAGAAATTGGTCGTTAACCGGTTTTGAATAATTACTTTTAAAGTTGTATTAAAGTCTAGAAAGGGTGGATTGATGTATTAGTTTTGCGAGCGCCCTAAGTTTGGAAATTGAATAACTTCAAAAGTAATTATTCCAAACTAACTGGCTATTAACAAGTCAAAAAATTGTCCACCAACTTAATGGTAATTTCAAACATTCAAACGAATATATTATTCTCCTCCAACATCCATGATGACATCAGAACTGTGACACTTACCATGCCCTTATAAGACATCCGTGTCGATAATTTTTTTAGTTTTTGTATGTGCCACTACTTTTGTTGCTGATATTTTAATAATTTAACGTTGTGATTTCGGCGTTGTGTTTCAGAAGCGAATAAAAGCAGAAAAGTTAACAAAACGGCGACGAACGATGATGACAAACGCAAACAAGCAAAAAAAAAAAAACTATTCTACAACAAACGAAAACCAAAAAAAATTTTCCCAAAAACCAAAAAAAGTCACCGTCGGTGTCAAGTGTATGTAACAAATAGCCTGCGCAACAACCACAGAAGCTTTTCGAAAATTCTGACCAGGACCGATTCTCCGGACTTCCTGGGAGAAATCTTCCCCCCCCCCCAAAAAAAAAAAATGATACACAGACACAAACAACGACTTCCCCCCTATCACAAATTAAATTAATATATATATATATATATATATATAATAATATCTCCGTCTTAGATCCTCCCCTTCGTGTGTGTGTGTGTATACCTACCACCAGCAAACGAGCCAGCGACGTCCACCACCAAATACTCAGCTCTAGTCACACCATAATATATATAAATAATATATTATATTTAAAAAAAAAAAAAACTAAAAAGATTAAGAGATATTTTAACAAAAAAAAAAAACAATTTATTGAATTGTATAACTTATTATTATTATTATTAATTAATTATATTATTATTTATGTATTTAATATATATATATATATATATATATATTATATATATATACGTTGGTGATTGGCCACACACATAATTAATATGTACCTAAGTAACTCGCGGAGGTGACAAGATTTAGATAAGAAAAAAAAAACAAATTTATTATAATAAAATTACAATTTTTGATCGACAAAATATTATTGGCAGACTATAAAATTATTATTAAAATAAAAAAAAAAGTTTATATAGAGGTATATGTTATTATTATAATATACGAACATTTCGTTGTTTCGAAAGCTGTAGTACATTTTTTTTTTTTTTTTTTAATAATAATAAAAAAAATAACATGTAATTTTTAACCCTTTTACGCAATTTTATCAGTATCTCATTATTCGTAATTTTTATTATTATTATTATTATTATATATTTTTTTCTCTTTTTACTATTAGCGGTAATCATTACAATAATTATATTATGTATGATTTATTATTATTATATATAGACCTAAATATTATTAATTTTTTTTTTTGTTCTGTTAATAAATTATTATCGAATAATACGATATATATATATATATATATATATATATATATTTGATTAACGGTAATTAGTATATTATATTGTGTAATTGTAGGTGGAAAATGAAACCAAATTAACTCTAAAAAAAAAATAGGTGTATTATGATAATAATTTTTTTTTTTTTTGGGCATTAAAACAAAAAGTCTTCTCTCTCGCCGGTCGTTTCCGTTCGCAGTCTCTAAAAAAAATAAGGAGAAATTTTATATCAGACACATCCCTCTGTTATGTTACCGACTACTTGTTATCTCAGTAACTTGTTATCAGTAACATCTAATCTCAGTAACTTGTTATCAGCTAGCAGTGTTATTGTGTGTAAACGGCGTGCGCGATATTTTCGGCGCTACAATTTGGCAACACTGCGTTGAGTTTCGGCCGATCTGAGCGGCGCGCTATCTGGTTTTATTTTGTCATATCGGCTGTGGGATGATGATGATGATACGATAACACAATGATAAGAACAATAAGAACAATAATCAATAATACTGTTGTCTCGAGAACGATTCGAACGACCTCGCCGGAGTGCAGATAGATCTCTTTCTAGTTTTACACTAACTCATTTTTTTTTTTTTTTTGCCAACAAAATCTCAGAACACAATACGATGATGTACATAATGGATAAGGAAGAGAGTTCAGCCGTAACGTCCGGGTTGGGCTTGAGAGTACCTGGAAGGGTCATCAACAAGGATTGGGGTTTGAATTTTCGGAGGTGCTAATTTTGACGGACGATGAAATAGTTTTTCGTTTCCATTTTCACAGTTGCAGTAGCAGAACAGCGGTACAAGTGATTTTCAACGGTTATCCTAAGACGTAAGACGAGACAAGTTTCAAGTGTGGTGTAAAGTGGTGGAAAACGAAGAATACAGGGTCGGAACTATCGTTTTTTTTTTTTTTCTTGGCCTTTATTTTATTAGAGATATCGTCTCAAAAACGTCGTACAAAAGATATTGTTTATTTATTTATTAAACATTTTTGTATGAAAATGTTTCCCCTTGGTTTGTGTCCGACGGGGGTGTGTTATTTAGAGGATGTATTTGTTTCTATTCCAAAACGGGAGAAAGGAGGGGTTTGCTTCGTATGCGTGTGTGTGTGTTGGTTGTATATTATAATGTACATAATAATAATAATAATGTGTAATTCCTATATAATATTGCTATTATATGATTGATGTGTGTACCTGATAAACAAAATGTTAAAATAAACCGTCGTGCGTTTTGAAAAACCGAAATTCGACAACATTATGTTTGCCTAAAATAGAGCTGTTGATATTCTCATTATTAATTATCGCCATATAGATACGATATGCAATGATATGGAGGCGTCTTGTGTGGGGCCCAAGACGGAGAAAAACGCAATGTCAATATTGTTTGGGAAAAATAAATGAAATTAAAAAAAAAAAAAACGTCACACAAACTAAACCGCGGGCAAGATTTAAAAGTAATATGAAAACGTTTTTAACAAAAATTGTTTGAGCCGAGCAAACATTGTATGCGTTTGTTTTTTTTTTTGTCTTGTAAATTAATTTGTTATTATTATTATTATTACTGTTGTATTTGTATATTTCTTTAAAAAGCGTTTATTTTTTTTTTTTTGAGGGGGGAGACATCAAATTTGCATAATTTTATTTTATAAGTATTTTTCCAGAGCCGACTCGACCGGTCCGACACTGTTGTGGGTTTAAAACAAACGGTTCTGTTAAAAGTCAAAACAGTAGCACCACTACAATACGTTTGATGTTAAATAATAATAATATTGGTGAAGGGTTAAAAAAAGCTCTGGAAAATGCTCTGGAAAAAAAAAAAAACGTTAATATTGTAAATTATTATTAAATTCGTCCCTCGGCTTCGCGCATAAGGGTAATGGATAAGTTCAAAAATCATTATTGTAATATATTATTACTATATAAATAATTAATATATATATATATATATATATATATATATATATATATATATATATATATATTTATATATATATCCCGTAGGGTGTCTGGGTGTTCCCGGATGAGAATATTACTGAAAACAAACATTTATAATTATCAACGTTAATAACAAAGATATAATATTATTATTACATTCATAGCTGTATTTTATCGCGGTCGACTATTAATTATTATTATTATTATTATTACAATAATTGTTGTTACAATATGAATAACAATCGTCGAAAATAGTGTGCCCGAGTATTGAAGAAAAATGTTTGTTGTTTTTTCCTTTCGAATATCTTAACGAAAAAATTCAATACACCTATTGAATTGGTTAAAAAACTATTTACAAAAAAAAAGAAAACATACCGAGTAAGTATCTAGCCATTTTCGATTTTCAGTTATATGTATATATTTTTTTCTCTTTTTTTTTTTTTTATTCTTTGTTTTTTTTAAATATTATATTATTACAAATAAATATATTATTATTATTAATTTTAAATCATAATCGTCGTTTCGTAGCCATATAACACGCTTGGAAAAAAATGTCTTATACATAAAACAAACGTTTGACAGCAAACAACACTAATAAACAATACTTTATATCAAACACACATTAGTTGTACAACGACTTATTTTTAATACATTAATATAATATACTAATATGTCTAACTAATAAATTACTTAATGTAATATATTTTTGTCACTTTTCTGTACAATTTTTTTTTCTTTCCTGTTTAGTTAATATATTCAGACAACGCTATACATAACAAATTTTAATTATAACAATACTATATATAATACAAGAATGTCTGTTCACGAATAACGAAACAATATAATTATTATTTAATATTTCTTAGGCCTCTATATTATTATTGATAATGTTATTATAATTATATATATATACATAATGTCATTAGTTTATAATATTACTATCTACTAATAATAATAATTAATACTATTGTACGTATGTTAGACTTTTATGTTTAGAACGATACGCCGACTATCACGTTTACAGATTTAAATAACGATGATATATTATTATAAATTAAGTGGCTGTACAATGTTTACAAAAAAAAAAAAAAAAGTTGAAAAAACGATTTGGAAATATTAAAAAAAATATATATATATATATAAATAAAGAATGAAAAAAAATATAATAAATAAAATTGTAAAAGAAATTTGTTGTTTTTATTTGTCAATTTATTTACAGTGTTCCATTTTTTTCCTATTTTCCCGGGTCGCACAATAATATGATTAATAAGAATAAGAAAACATTTGATTTATAGCTGGAATTGTTATTATTTTTTTTTTTTTGGAATAATATGTTTTTCTATCCGTGTAGCAAGTTCATATCTATTTGGCAGGCTGGTGAAAATCTGATCAAGAAGATTTTGGCCTTGCTCTGTTGTACTGCCTTGTCCAATATTATCAGTATACCTAATTTAGAAATATCTTGTGCCACACACGTTCTATTAAATTTATACATAATTTTAATTTTAGCAAAACGTATCAATCTCTTTCCTTCAATCTTCATTACAATTTGACTTTGTGATACGATTTCCCAACAAAATCTTGTCAAACTGCAGATTTGATAACCAGGCATCATGATATTTTTGTTTTTAATATTTTTGAACAGGTATCTACTAAGTACCAGTAGATTTTTATTTTCGAAATAATAATACATTTTTAATAATTATTGTGAAAAGAACTAAAACCAACGAAATTGTTGTCAACAATGCGATGAAGACATATCATTTTATTTATGTACAAAAATTACACAAAACAAATATTACAAATCAACTAATTTTGTGATATTTTTACGCAGTTAAATAAAGACAATAGAAAAAAAAATATTGCGCTTATATTTTATTTTAAATGAATATATTTTTCAAGAAAATTGTCTATTTCCGGAAAAAGCGCGTTTTGTTGAAAATTGCCACATTTTTTTCCAACACATTATTTTTCCAAATTTAATGCAAAACGCACTTTTTCCGGAAAAGGGTCGTTTTGCTAAAAATAAGATTTTTAAATCCTAAAAAAAATAATAATAAGGAAACTAAAGAGTATTTATAAATCAATCGAAAATATTTTTTTTTTTAAATATTGTGTTATGATCTAAACCGTTTTAAATGTTCCTAAACGTTAAACTTGCTCTATTGGAAAAGGTACGTTTTGAATTGTAAGCTTTTCGATTGATCATTTTGAAACATCTGGTATTAGGTTCTGATAACAACAGTTATGCAATTATGTGCTCATCTAAATTTTAGCTATCATATCACACAAGAGATATTCCCTTGACCGGTATTACCCACCGACTGGTATTCCCCCATTACCCCCTGCCCACCGTCCAGTGTTTTGTGGACAAATTCAAAAGCAAACTGTCGTTATCACCGTCGGATAATAACATAATAATATGGTAACATGTCCATATCAGAACGTGATTTTTACAAGAGTTGAATACTAGCAAGCACACCTTGGCAAGCCACACGTGCGGCACACGAGGCCGAATTTAGGCGACAGAACGAACACAGTGTGAATAATAATAA